AGATTGCAAAGGAGAAGTTAAAATATGAGTATTATAAAAATATATAGAAAATAGGGGCGCCTGGGTGGCTCAGTCGTTAAGCATCTGCCTTAAGCTCAGGTCATGATCCCAGGGTCCTGGGATCGAGCCCCGCATCGGGCTCCCTGCTCCTCGGGAGGCCTGCTTCTCCCTCTGCCTGCTGCTCCCCCTGCTTGTGTTCCCTCTCTGGCTGTGTCTCTCTCTGTCAAATAAATAAATAAGATCTTTAAAAAAAAAAACATGTAGAAAACAAATAGTGCGAAATGTCAGTTCTAAGTCTTTTCTAGTACGAGGGACTGTGTAGTACCTCCCAGTGGAGCCCTTCGCTGCTCCCCCTCTGGAGTAAGCACGCACAGCAGACTGGATCCCCAGGAGCTGCTGCAGGTGGGGAGGGGACGGGCGCCACGGTGTGGTGCAGGGGAGCTACTGCCGCCTATGGACACATCACCTCCTCTCTTCTTGGTCAGCCTCCCCTCTGCCTCTGAAAAATCGGGGTGATACACAACCTCCTGGAGTTGTCTGCTAGGGTATGGGAATCCCAGCCTGCTCCTTCACACAGAAGTTCCTGGGGGGCCCAACACTTAAGAACCTCGCGAAGCTCCAAGTTCTGTGTGGCAAGCCACCAAGTTAAATCCCAGATCTCCAGAGTTTCCAGGGCAGGAGGCGGAGACTGAAGAACAGCCCTGTGCGAGGCGATGATCCTGATCTTCTGGGCAGAGCTTACATTTTTTTTTTTTTTAAGGTGCACTTTCTCTTAAGCTAAATTCCAAAGTCCTTTGTGAGTGTTAGTGATGTCAGAGGTATTGGCCAGCTTGGTGACTGCATGATGCAGGCGTTATTCCATTACATACACTAATATCCCAAGAGACCGCTTCAGATCAGAGGGCAGAGAAAAAAGATTCACCAGTTTCTCTGAGAGGGTTCATAAGATCCCAGTAAGCACATCTGTGCTACTATGTGAAGGTCAGTCTCAAACGCATGAACATATTTAGAAATCCTGTCATGTGATTGGATTTTCAAAGCATTTGGGTAGAAAGAAAAAAAGGAGATGTGAGATCCTAAAATATGAACCAGGGATCGTTGGAGGGAAACATTTCATGTGGAACTATTCATGTCCGTCCTGCCACTGATTCAACCATGGGAAAGGCCTGTGGCCCATATCCCTAAGGCAGGAGAGCTGACATCCATACAATACATACGAAGTGGTATTCTAGGCACTGTGCTAGGAACTAAGGGTAAACAAGTGAATCAAATCAATCATCCTTACCTTCACAGAGCTTTCAGTCTAGTGGGGGAAAAGTAAAATGATTAAATGCTAAGATCGAAAAGTACGGACAGATATCAGAGGGCATAAAACAGGAAGGCAGGTGTCAGGTAAGACAACCTTGAGTCAGTTACCTAGGTGGAATTAACAAGGTGAAGGGCAGAGAGGAGAAAGAACAGAATGTGCAAAGGTCCTGAGGCAAAAGGAAGCCTGGAATTTTGGTCAGAGTTCATAAAGCATTCGTAGTGGGGGTGGGGGGAGTAAGGTAGTGGAGTGAAAGAGAGAGGTCAAATCAGGTTAAGTCACTGTAGGATTTTTAATCTTTCCAAATGGCACTGAAAAGTCACTGAAGGATTTTAACCTTACAGAGCCATGATCTTGTCTTCAGTCATTTCAGGGGTACAGTAATAGGTGGTGTTACCACTTTCTGGGGGTGAGCTCCTAGTCATAGGGCCCTTTGAAAAATGGCTCAGCCAAGTCCTCCTCAACATGGGGGGTGTAGCTTAATTCTTTCTTATTTGCTTTAGGGGAAAGATGAGAAGATTGTTTTTAAAACTAAGTCCTTCATCTTCCACTTATACAAAAGAACACTTTTCTAAATATAAGAAAAAGTTGCTAATCTTTAACTACAATAATATAGATTTATAAAAGTAAAGTGATACTACAGTCTATAATTTCTACAGTTATTCTGGGCAGTAAGATCCCAGAAATGTAGATTTGTCATTCATCTTCTTGTTTATGATGCACAATCTTCCTTTTTATAAACATTTTTTTAGGGGCGCCTGGATGGCTCAGTCGGTTAAGCATCTGCCTTCAGCTCAGGTCATGATCCCGGGGTCCTGGGATCGAGCCCCGCATCGGGCTCCCTGCTCGGCGGGAGGCCTGCTTCTCCCTCTCCCAC